CGTTCCCCACGCTGCACAGCTTGCCATACGAGGCTCTCCCTCCCCTTCTCTCCCCTCTCTTCCCCCCTCCCCCTCTCTCTCCCTCCCCTCCTCCTCTCCTTCCCTCTCTCATCGCGTGTGTTGTGTGTTTCAGGCGCAGCTGTACATGGACCCGTTCCCCACGCTGCACAGCCGGCCGTACGAGGCGACCAAGCTCAACCAGCTGTTCCTGCAGGTGCGCATGGAGCTGGAGAACTTCCTGTCGGGCTACTGCCTGCCGGAGCCGTACTACAGCATGCGCGTGCGCGACCACGTCAACCAGATCATGAAGATACTCAAGGAGCCGTGCCTGCCCCTGCTCGAACTACAGGTGGGTGTGAGGGAGGGTGGGAGGAAGGGAGGGAGGGAAGGAGGGAAGGGCGGAGGGAGGGAAGGAGGGTGTGCAGCGTGCCTGTCTCTGCTCGAACAGGTGGGTGTGTGGTAGGAGGGTTAGGGAGGGAGGGAAGGAGGGTGGTACAGGAGGAGGGAGGGGGAGGTATGGTGTGTAGGGGGCCTGCCCCTGCTCGGACTACAGGTGAGTGAGTGTGTATGAGGGAGGGTGGGAGGAAAGGAGGAAGGGAGGGAGGGTGGGAGGAAAGGAGGAAGGGAGGGAGGGAAGAAAAGAGGAGTTGGACGGGGTCAAGGGTGCCTCCCTTTGCCCAAGCTACAGGTGGCTGAGTGTGTGGCTAAAAGATGTAAGGGGTAGTTTAATGTATTTCACCGACATATACATATATTTTATACTACCATAGCGACCATGTGTTGTGTCGCCCCCTCACCCCCTCCTCCCCAAGAGACAACACTGTATGACGGCTTCTCTCTGCTTTACAGGAGATCATCTCCGTGGTCGCGGGCCGTCTTCCCGCGAACGTCGAGCGGCAGATCCGTAAGCTGATGGCGTCGTACGCGAACAACGTCACGTCGGTGCTCTGTCAGTTCCCGAGCCAGCAGATAGCGAGCGCGATCGACGGTCACGCGGCGACGTTGCAGCGACGCGCCGACCGCGACGTGTTCTTCATGACGACGCAGAGCATCGTGCAGCTCGTGCAGCGGTGAGTGTTGTACGCGGTGCGGATGGTGCAGCGGTGAGTGTTGTACGCGGTGCAGCTCGTGCAGCGGTGAGTGTTGTACGCGGTGCGGATGGTGCAGCGGTGAGTGTTGTACGCGGTGCGGATGGTGCAGCGGTGAGTGTTGTACGCGGTGCGGATGGTGCAGCGGTGAGTGTTGTACGCGGTGCGG